AAGAAGAAAGAAAGAAAGAAATAGAGAGAAAGAGAATCTGAGAACGTTGTCATTATTGTCATCGTGTGAACGCCTCCTTAACGCACCGCGCCTGCGCATTTGTGAGCGGTTCTAGTTGAACTGGTCTCTCCGAGGTTACCACGTGCTGAAAACCGTGGCCGTTCAGCAGTACCGCATCGGTCTTCTTGTCGAAAGTATCTTAGCTTTATATATCCGTTATCTCGAAAAGTGCATCTTTGGAACCATTTTTCACTGGTTTCATCTTTTTGCCAACTTTTCTCGAATGGTTAAACGATCCAGTGAACACGTCGAATGATCACAGATGGAAGTAAGCATGGACGTAGCATCGGTGAGTCCAGTGAAGAATCCAACCTTTCGTCGTTAGGTATCTGCCCGTTTCATGGCTTGGTGTCCCATAGAATTTCGTCGGATTTATGTCGCAACCGTTGTCCGAGAATTGAAGAAACTTGTCCCAACGGAAACTTGACATAAAAGTTCAATTCTATTGCGAGAAGTTACGTTCGAAATTATTTTTTTCAATGTTATTGCTATTGAGAGATATACAGAAACAATTGAAAATTATGTTTCTTCCTCGTTTCACGCAAAAAAAAAAAGTTTTAAAGAGAAAGAGAAATGGGTTACGATCACATATGTCTGTGATTTATATTTCATTTAATGTATTTCATCGAATTGTTGTTTTCGGAAATTTGCTTTGTTCTTCGTGTTAAATTTTCTTTTTCAATCGGTTTCAACAGTATTCCATGAAATTATGAAAACGACATGGACATTTTCTTTGAACTTCAGATATCACAGATGGGAACTGCAAGCCTGTATCAAGCAAGGGTGAATGCACTATACAGAGTGTCTCAAAGCCTGTAATTCAATTCAAAGAGATGAGTCTTCTTAAAAACAAAATATGAAAAATGTAATAACGAGAACATGTAATTTTTTAATGTTACACAATTTGATATACATTTTTTAATTTGTATTGTGGGCTTTGAAAAGTTCTGTATAATTTTTATTACATATTTCGAAGTGTACCGTATGTAACAAACTTATGGTACTAAGTCTGTAGAAATTAAGATGCTTTAAACGTTTATTTTAGACATAAATCGCGTCTTTTGATATAACCATACAGCGTATCACATATTTTGGAGCATCCTGTACATTTTAAATCTGAAATCAATGTGACTTTTAACCAAATGAAAACTATTCCGAGTTTCATCGATAAATATTAAACGAATAAATTCATATATCAATTTATTATTTGTTAGCGGTTTCCTTTCTTAATACAATAAATTTGTTTATGTTTCTATTTAAAACTTTCCTTAAAATTAAAAAGATCTTTCCTTAAAAGTAAAAAGATTTTTATTTTACTATTTCATGATGTATATTTTTGTTGCGATAATAATTCTTAATTTGGAGGTTTTATTTTAATATTTAGTTTTTACAATAGTTTTCATTTTCATTTTCATTTATATGTTTATTACTTTGATGAATTATTAATATGATAATTATGTATACTCGAATTTTAACTGATGTAAAAATTAATATACTTTTGGTTAAATATCAACTTAAGAATCATTCTTAATTCCAAGTGGACTCTGAAATTATTTAATTTTATTAATTATAAATTTATTTTCGTTAATTATAAATCTATAATTATGAATTTCATTTAATTTTTAATCTTACTGCAAATGTGATGTAACGAATTGTTTAATCTTTCTTTTCTCCCCTATTTTCCTTGATTTAAAGAGCAAGACGTTTGTTTATATACAATGCCTTTATTCTTAATTAAGCTATTCGAACGAGTACAGCCGTGACCGGAAGTTATACTTGTGAAACGGTAATTAAGAAAGGAAACCGAGTAAGACGAGAGACTGAATAAGAATTAAATTTCATCGACTTTGCGCGCTCGCTGTAAGGTGGTGGTTATATATCATATTTTTAATATATAACCCGCTAAATACCGTTCTACGCATTACGTGTTAAAATAAAATTTAAAATGATCGTGTAATTAGTTGCATAATTATATAATTTATCATATATAATCATACATAATTCTCTTTTGATTTCAGTATAGAACGGTTCTTAATATCAACAGCTACAGTGGATTGGAAAAATGTCTGCTACTCACATTCAAATGGTAAAGTGGACTTTTCCTGCATTTGCTCTTATAATTGGTCTATTGTGGTACAAACGACGTCGTGTAGACAGAGTTGATCCAGGTGGAATAAATAAAAAGAATCGCAACGAGAATAACATCGCTAATAAAAAAAACCAAATCGCTCCGTCAAGCTTTTATGATTCCGGCATACAAACTGACGAATCTTTCTCATTGGGTTCATCAAAACCACCTGGAGAAGAGATTGTTTGTAGTCCCAGAAAGAAAAGCGAAAATTTAGATATTCCACAAAGAAAACCTGGTTCGCAATGTATTTCTGCACATTCAACAACTCCTCCTAAAGACGATCAAGCATGGTATAATTTTGCGGATACCACGTCGAATATGGAAATACAGCTAGGCAGTAATCCGAAAATAAGTAATTTCGAGATGATTGCAAAGAGCAGAAGCGCATGCTCTTTGGAAAACGCCGCCGATTCCGATGATAAAGTCTTAAAGATATTCGAGAATGTCGCCGAAGAGGAAGAACAAAAGTTATCTGAGAATAAAACAATCGATGCTGTCAATACAAATGAAGAGAATAACATAAATGATGAATGTAATTATCTCCCAAGTAAAGAACCATCTGTTATAAGCCCGTTAAAAGATAATGTTAAAACTCCAGTGCAAGCATTATCTGAAAGAGATTCTGCTAATCACAGTCCAGTTTCTGGTGTCTTAGAGGGCAGTGTCACAGATGAAGCAAGAAGTGAAGGAAGTACAGATAGTGGTAAAGGTTAGCATTAAATGAATATTAAATAATATAAATTTAAAATATTTTATTTTTATTATTTTTTTTTTTTTTTTTTTAGGAGGAAGTATTAAAGGTCATACAAAGAACAATGTAATGCCAATGGCATACGAATTTAGCATACCACAAAATTTAGTTGGACGACTAATTGGTCGGCATGGAAGTTTTTTGCAAAGTATTCGACTTAAAGCCGAAGTACACATAGTTGTCAAACGTCATCCCATGTGGAGAGATCAAAAAATTTGTGCCATAGAAGGTCCCACGGAAGGAATAAATATTGCCCTAGATATGATACGACAAAAGTTTCCAGAGAAAAAGTATCCGCATGTAACTCTTGAACAGATTTTACCATTAAAATTACCTGAAGATATTCCCTGGATTACCGAGTTGAGACAGTTATCGTTAGTTGAAGGAGTGAACAACGATGTTGTTGTTTGTCACATAGTAAAACCAAATCGATTCTTCGTACAACTTCCTACTCATCCTACCTATCCCTCTTTACGAATATTAGATGAAAAAATGACACAATTATATAACACAGCAGAATCACCATCAGCGCCAAATGAACTTAGTAGTACGTTTTTATATTGTCCTTTTATGATTCTATTTTTACTCTGCCATAGTTAAAATTCTTAAATGATTTTTTTTTTTTATTTATAGGGGGTATGATCTTAGTTGCAAAATGGTACAATACGTGGGTTAGGGTATATGTTGAACAACCAGATCCTCGTGGAGAACATCATTTAGTACGACTTGTTGACCACGGAGGTTATTGGGTTTTTAGTAATTCAGAAATGAAAAAAATTAGGTCAGATTACCTTACATTACCGTTTCAAGCAATTGAAATATTCTTAGCGAATATACAACCAAAAGATGGTTAGTGCACTTTTTACACTACATACAATTTTTTTATATATAAATCGACAATTTATACTAATAATTATTGTATATTATATGTCAGGTGAATGGAACCAGGAGGCTTATAATACAGTTGCTCATATGTGTAGTGGAATTGTCGGCCAAGCTCAAATAGAAGGCTATATTAATACAAATATATATGTTAATCTTTATCTCAATATTCATAAACACGGAGTAAGTAAACATTAGTTTTAAAAGAAAGATTTTTTGATTATATACTTATATATATATACTTATATAAACTTGTTACGTGTCGCAGGTGATATCTCTTGCGGATGAGTTAATAGCTCGCGGATTTGCGGAATCCGTACCATTAGAAAGTATAGCTCCCGAAGAAGATATATTAGTTTCTTAAGGTATGAACTAAAAATTTAGTCTTTAATGTAATTGTACTGTAAAAAAACTATGCGGTGATAATATGTAATTATACCATTTTTGTAGTCATTATATGCGTATGTGTATAGTTTTGAATTCATTTTCATACACTTCATGATATTTTTCTACATTAAAAAAAATATCAACGAAAACATGTTTCTTAATATTAATTTGAGGATTTTTATTAACACAATAAAGTTATAAGTACCATATATTACTTCATATTTAATCTAGATTCAATTATATTACAATATAATAACATATATTTACTGTTAATACATTAAGTGTCAATGGACATATGTAAGGATGAACTATATTTAACAAGTACAAATGTAAACTATTGTGTTTAAGAGTGTGGCATTTTTACGTGCATGGCTAGTGGGATTTTTTAACATTATTTAGCATACTAGTGAACGGAAAAAAAATTTAGATCAAGTGTTAACAGACAATAGAAAATAAATAAATATTTAAAAAAAAACACTGGTACTTATGTGCTGTCGAAATGTACCATAGATTAATTAAATGCCAAATGAACGAGATATACAATACATATATATGAAATGCCACATTTGGGGCACCATATTCTACGTTGGAAATCGAGCAGAAATCGAAGAATAAGAGATTAGAATAAAAGGGACATTTAATGTAATTTAATACGACATTTAAGCGATTTCTAACGTAGAAACAGGTATTTTACAGTATGATAATGTAACATAAAATTGCAAAGTATAATGAAAATTGAAATTTTTCGTAAAAGCCACATAATAATCTATAATATTTTTACT